GCCTGCATCTGAAAGTACTCTCGGCCTTTCAGCAGCGTGTATAGGAGGGGGCTGAGCTAGGGGAAATTGCAGAGTGCAGCTGTGTGTTAAAAGAATCTTACATGATGATCAGGGGTAGGGCTTGCAGGTGTAGATGGACACCAGGTATTGGTGCCTAAAAGACCCTGGTAAAAAGTTGCTTTGGAGATCAGACAAAGGCACGTTCGGACGTGACTGGGCTCATGACATTAACCATTACAGCACAGTGAAGGAGATCAGGTGCCTGCGCTATGCCAAGCAAGTGTTACATAATCGGTACATTTTATTACAGTTTGTCCCGCTCCATGATGGAGAGGATTTAACTGTCCTGCTCCTGTGCCACGCGGACGTGCTTGTGGAAAACTCACTAGCATGAGGGTGACGTCCGTGGCGGTGGACTTGGAGGAGCTCCACAGAAGGGATGTGGATCTTCTGGGTGGCCAGCCTGTGGAAGCACTTCCTGTTCAGCAGTAATTGGAGTGCCACCTGCGGGGTGCATCTTGTGATCACAGGCCTGCGCCTCCCGTCTAAATTTTCCCCGGCCTGCCTGCATCTGAAAGCACTCTCTGCCTTTCAGCAGCGTGTCAAGGAGGGGGCTGAGCTAAGGGGGTGTACGCTGGAAATCGCAGAGCTCAGCTGTGTTATATGTTACATGACGATCAGGGGTAGATTGGGAAGGTCTAAAGTTGCTAAACTTCACACTTTAAAGCTGCCTAAAGACACTGTGACCTTTAACATGGAGCACCTCAGGCCAGTACACAATGTGGCACTAGAATTTAAAAGCTATTTGCAAAGGGGCACATGATTGCCCAGGTAATAAAATTAAAATTAGTGGAGGAACAGCTGGGGATGAGAGAGAGGTGGCTGGTATGGACTGGACAGGGGAACATGAGATTAGGAGAGCAGGTTGTGTCAAGCGTCACTTTTTATTTTTCATTTTGCTTTTCCAGTTTTCAAAAGCAAAACTAAACATCCGCAAGCTTAGCCTTTTTTTTTCCTATGGGTGCACTGAATTGTTTAAAATGAGAAAGACGAGGAACTCAAGCACACTACAATAGGCAAAACCCACATAGTATTACAGAAAAACATATGGTCAAAGACATTGATCTGAGCATTAAAATCCCAGAATTATTTGGACTGCCTACTTACTACTTAAAAGGGTGTTCCCATTTTAACATGACTGTCCATTAATCTGACTTCTTAATAATATATGCAGCAACGATAATTCCAATGACTCAATCCAGACCACCAGTCTTATTTTTCATGTTTTGTCCGATTCCCCCCCACCCAAAAAAAACCTAATAGGACAAGTATAGAAGTGACTTTTTTCTTGCTGCATGAAAAGCTTTCCGTTCTGAAACTTCCCAAGAATTCCAAAAAGGCTTTTCAGAGTTTCAGAGGCTGTCGTGATGAGATTCGAATCTCAGAACCTCCGATTCCCGCGATGAAGCGAGCACGTGCTGGCACCCATCTGGAATGCCTGAATCAGGTATCGCCGGAATGGAATCGCTGGTGTAATGTTGTACGGATTAAGACCTTCCCTGGCAACATTACACAACTGTCACCACATTATCCTTCAGTTCTCCATTCCCAAGCAGACATTTCTGCTGCTCCACCCCCTCATGTGTTCTATAAGACAAGCGTGGAGCCAGTGGGATGGTGTAGTGGCCTGTGAGTGTGTCCCAGAGATTGTGCTATATTGCTGTTATTGCCTGGAGGAATGTATTGCTGGTCAATGAGGGCTGGGAACTTCAATCTGTGGTCCTGTTCTAAAGCAACTGCTTAAAAATGGAATCTGGTTGACTACAGCCAAAGGCGACAGAAATGATCTTGCAGGAGAGAGAAAGCCGAAGACGCTGCTGTAATCAGGCTGCCCCTACACTGCTTTACCCTTTTGAATGTGCTTGGACTACAGCCAAAGGCGACAGAAATGATCTTGCAGGAGAGAGAAAGCCGAAGACGCTGCTGTAATCAGGCTGCCACTACACTGCTTTACCCTTTTGAATGTGCTTGCAGGACAATGTTGGGGTTCAGCAGTACAAAAAATAGCACACTTGCCCAGCATAGGAAAGAGAAGATATGGGGTTATGCGTCTTTTATTTTTGGTGCAAACCAAAGAGTTAACAGGGGTATAGTATAAATAATTGATTTCAAGACAGCGGACGGTTTTGGTGCCGAGAAGATTCTAGCCAATGAGGTGTCTCAATTCCAGGGGCCTCAGTGGAACATACCCATCACGCCTCAGAGCATGTGACCGGAGCCACAGCAGAGAGAGCACGCAGCGTCAGCAGGCTTTATCAGAGCTGACAAACCCCTGGTGCACCAGGCGCAGCTGGGCTCGCCGTGTTAATGCCATTCCCGAAATTACTGACACGTCGGGCTTGGAGACAACAAAGCTGTTAAGGTCCGGGCATCCCAGATGAAAGGCAGGCTCACCACTGACACTTATCGGGGCGTGTCGCCCTCACAAGAAAGGAAAAGATCTCCGCAAAAGGGACACAACATTTTGGATGTGGATCCTTCTTCAGGTGTTCAATAGGAAATAGGAAAAACATGAGGGTGAGCTGTGTCCTGTACTTCACCTGCTGGAGTTAATTTCTGCTGCACTGAATGATACTTATGCCCATGAAGGCAGAGAAGGGGATATTCTAGCAGCTAAGCAAGCCTTGCTCAGGTTTCAGCTATGGTGGCACGGCCCCCTGACCCCATCTTGGCTCAGGTGCTCGTCTGTGGCCCGTGTTCCTGTGTGCCTGTGGAGGCATTTGCACCTCCCCGCCCTGAGCAGACGTTCACACGCGCCAAAGAGCGTGTGGAAATCACATCAGCGTTCTGGCTTTGCTGGTGTGCAATCCTGGCCCGTCAGAGATGCCAATTAATTTTCCATTAGATCAGCCCTTGGGGTTAGAAAATAAACCTCAAGGTGCATGAAGATCCCGAAGGAAATCGTAGGTGTGGATGGCATACAAAAGTGCACATAGAAGTATTGAGTGGTTTAATGCTGACTGGAAAACTCATGGAAGCAGATGTGAAACGAACCAACAGAACACATGGTCTTTTTTTCAAGCAAACGCATCTTGTGTTATTTCAGACCAGCTACACTGAGCATTTATGTTCTCTGTTTTCACCTTTATGCATCTCATCCACATCACTACTAGAGTGACAACTCTCTCTGCTCAAAGCACTTGTTTCCATTCAGGTGCGTGCACATTAGCCAATTTAGACTAATTCTCTCCTATGCAGGTGGACAGGGGCTGGTGAGGAACCCTGTGAGGTATAAGCTTTGCATTCAACATGAATTACAAAACAAGTGCAGATTAAAATAATGTGCAAGAAAGCTGGCAGGCACAATGCACTTCACTGCCTGCAGCACCACACACACACACACAAACCTTGGGTTGCTGTGTGCCCAGTAACACAGAGAACAGCTTCTTGCTCCAAATGCTACCCGAGTAAATATTTATACCCTGGAGTGAAATTAATCTGCACTGTAGAACACATTTGTGGAGGGGAATCCACAACTGTAGGTCAGGCTGCTTGATCTATTTGCAATACCAGCAGGGACCTCAGGCTTAAAACCAAAGCTGGAAACTGGACTGAGCCCAAGTATAATGCAGTTGTGTCATGGTATCCAAAAAAAAAAATTCAATCCGGCCTTTTTTAATTTATGAGCTTTTAAAAACAGTAATTGAACTCTTCCAATCCTCCACCCCCCCATAAACAAACAACCTCACCCTCAGATTCCCTGTCTGTGGGACTCATGGTCAGCAGACAACACAACATGTGCTTTGGGGACGATTTCACCCAATCAGTAAGGGAGAGACTGGATCCCCATAGTCCAGCTCCTGGGAGAGAACACAGTGCTGACCTCCAAGTCTAACGGTGGTGGTGGTTGTGGGGGGTCATTAACCAGAGTGGACAGAAGGACAGTAACTATGTGGCTACCGGCTCTTTACCAGGAGGGACTTGTGCAGGATAAGGGGATTTGTTCCCCAACATGGAGGAAGATAAAACACTGCAGGCCTGAGGGATGAAGAGACCCCTGCGGGGGGGGGGGTCTCTGTGAGGGAGATATGGAACAGCTCCTGTGAACAATCGCACTTTAAGCAGCAAATAGGCACAACAGGGCATAAAGGTCTCCCACTCTATTTACTGTTATGGAAATAATGAATGTAAATGGTGAAGGACTTGTGAGGGCAGAGAGGAGGGGTTTTACACCCTCAATGACCAGAGGCTATTGGCTAGAGAATTGAAACCATTGTACTGCCTGCAGTGAACAGTGTATGAACTACAAAGCAATTTTAAAACAAAATTACCAACCTACATTTCCTTTAACAGTACAGCAAGATTGAATTGCATTGTAACCTCAAAGACAGCTGGAATAGGAGGCTTTTCCCCTTCATCTAGAAGGGAATTAGACTATTGTATACATCAGCTTGAACTGATAATGGTTAGTAGCCTCTTTAGAAGTTGGCATTTACTTTTCTTGGGATACAAGTTATATGCTCCGAAGACCAACTGTTTGAAATATGAGTATCCTTATTCTCTTTGCCAACATAAGCATTTGGCTAAAGAACAGGACTCCAGGCCAACAGTTCTAGTATTATTGCAGCAAACAAAGTGCCATTTAAAATTCAAAGGAACAAGTAACAGGTTTTTTCTATGCTGAAAAGAGAAGAAAAAAAAAAAAAAACAATGTTTCGGCTGTGGAGCCTTCTTCAGGTGTGAGTTGCCATTTAAGATTATCCTAGCTGACTTTGCAGTGTTAAGGTCACAATTTGGCAAGATGCCACCGCAAGACCCTTTCAGATCCTAAAGGAAAAAAAATAACCTATTATGGAAGATGGTTTTATATGAGGGTGAAGCATCACTATTTTACTTTAAGGAGACCACTTATAAAAGGTGGTGTTAAGGTGCTTAGCCACTCAGATGTGCATTTAGCTATTGGTGACCATGTGTATTAAAATTCAAGACCAGGACACAAATCTGGTTATGAAAGTTTTTAAATGTAGTGACAAACCTGTTTAAACAGAGAATGGCTCACATCGCAGGATCTACATTAGCAAGGTTCTGAAGAAAACATTTTGCACCTCAGCCGAGCTGCATGTTACCTTGGCACACATCTTATGGCAAGAAATGTAAGCAACAGGTTTTTAAAACTGAGTCGATCACTACCTTATACAGAACAGTATAAAATACCAAAAATAAAATTGCCATCAACTTCTTAAAATAAGTTAAAGTTCCTTCATCCTATTTACAAAATCTTCCACAGGTAATCCAAAAAAAAATTTAAAAAAAAGGATTAACAGCCTGAATACTATCCTAATGATGATTCTATTTACAATTCTGTACATGGGTCTTCAGAGCTGCAGTCTCCGCTGAAAAGAGAAAAGGAAAGCGTCAATGACTCAATCACATTCCACAGGATCTTAAAATAAGCTAAAAGGTCACAGCTCCTTACCTATAAACGATTTAGCAGCGTGTTCTGGATGTCTTCATACACCTGGTTATAGATCTCATCTTTGGACTTCAAACCATCAAGATATGCTGTAATAAAAAGATGACTGAATACCTGAAATGTGCCAAAAGCATATCTGTACTAATTGCACAGTGAATGCATAAGGCCTAGGATTGATCTTTTGGTCTATGCCAAGATTTGTAGGCAAGCAATTATGTTGCAAGTTCCTCAACTGGTTTTACTGCACACCCACTCATCCAATGTAAAGTCGCCACCTACCAACATCCACGTTTTTAGCCTCCATTTCTTTCCTGTGCTTCAAGTACATGGGCCACACGTGGCCATCAAACAGACCAGGGGGGTCGGGAACAGTGTATTTCCGTGTGCTGAAAAATAAAGAGAAGCCCTTAATCCTCTCGCTAGCTCTTGAAACACTCAAAACAGTGTTCCTTTGACTCAAAGTCAACTAAAGATTCCACAGTTGTTAATCTAGGGCAGAGATACAGTAGCCAGCAGGGCAAACAGCAGTTTATTTTAAGAGGTGAATAAAGGCATAGAAGCACAGCCTACCTTCTCCTCCTCTTGCACTCTTCATATGGAATGGCAATGTAGTAGCGCTTGTCATATACATCAAGCAAAGGCCTGCAGGGGGAAAAAAAAAAAAAAAAAAAAAAAAAATCAATCCAGGACATCTACATCTACACAGAGTCACAATATTGCGATATTTTAAAACTGCACATTTGGACTTGCCTAATTTAGGAAGAGGATTAATGGAGTAATGTACAACTTTAAGCAGTTTTCTCTCAACTCAAAAAAAATCTCCACCTCTTTGGTTCCCCCGTCAAATATGTAGAGCTCAGAATATTACATCAGAGAAGCAGTGGGATCTTTCACCATCTGCCACGGTGACGAACAGAGCCCAGATAAGACAGCTGGAGAACATCATGTTAACCTTCTGTGACCCCAAACAGGTCAAAGCAAACCAGCACAACCTCTAGTGGCAACACCCTGCTTATCTCAAGCCCTGTGCTTCACTGCTCGGGGGTCCCCACACCTCAGCCCACTCAAAGCTTAGACCTTGCTTACCTTAGCCATTCACTATTGGCATCTCTTGCGATTCCTTAAGTAACTACCTGCCAACGTAGAAGGATCACAATCTCATTTTAACTAGGATAAGAATTCCCCTACAACTTCAGTGTATCTCTATAGCTATACGTGGAGACAGAGGCTCTCCAAACCACACACTGTGCAAGATGGGAACAAGCCACCCAGCCATACTGATGCCAATACCTTCAAGAAAGGGCAGTAGGAAAACCTTCGATTTGCCAAATGGGAGGACGCCATTCAGGCCTATCTAGCCCGGTGGCCACGCTTTGAGAAATGGGCCACTCTTGACAGCACAACAAAGGAGCCCTCTCCAGCTTCCCCACACCACACCGGTGCACGAGCTCACCTGTAGTTGTAGAGAAGGAAGCCTTCCACGATCAGGATGTGGACCTCCTTGTCAGGATCCGACTCCTCCGCCACAGGGGTCACACTCACCCCGTGAGAGCGGGCGAACTTCACCGGGTTCTCGCTCCACGCCTTGACAGTGCTCGTCATGGCCTCCATGTCTAGGGCTGTGATCACTACGGACAAAAGGGGACGGGGGGAGAAATACAGACAAGACTGTTACTCAAGGGAAACAAACCAATTTAAGAAATATGAAGATCAGATTCTACCATTAAAATGTAGAATGTAATTTGGTTTAATTATAAAAAGTTAAACATCTATACAAAAGCTTTATTGGTTTCCTACAGCAAAAACCAATCTTACCATCCCACTGTCTAAAGCCGTCCTCCCCGACTTCTATCTGATCTTGTGGCTGAAATAACAGTGACCAATAAAACAATGCTGCAAACTCAGGGTGAGCCATCGGGCAGATCGGATTACATCCTGAACTCTAGAAGCCAGACGCACACAGAAGGCAACTATAGGGACTACGTGGTCACAGGAGTACAAGGGGGAGAGATTACTATGTAGGCACCCGGGGGTTCTGTATAGACAGTCCAAGAATCACACAGGATCTTTGCAAGATGGAAGCAGCAGCACTGCATTCACAGGCAATCATCCAACTGGATGGAAGCAAAATTACCCCACCCCCACCCCCCACTGAGGCACTTAAGACTGCAGGAAAAAAAGCTTGCATGAATACATGTACCCACTAAATTGTGCACAGGCAGGTTTATGGCTTATCTGCTAAGCCTATACTCAAACCCCCAGGTGCTTCAGTCTGAAAATCTTCAGGTTCTACAGGAGCCCAAAACAGTTTTACGTGAAGTGGCACATTCACACGCAAGGAAGAGTTTAGTCCACAGAGCTTTTAACGTTATTTGCCGAGGTTAGAAATGCTATAGATTAGCAAGAGAAGTGCACAAGTTCATGGATATGAATGCTTTTTAAAAAGAGGATTGTTTGTGGAAACGCTATACTATGACCACCAGTGTGATGGCTGAAAACTAATCCGCACTTCTTTTGCAATCGCTAGCTCACAATGCGTCATTCAGCCATAGAATACCGAGCTCATATCAGATGTACAATTGATTCTGACCCAAGCATGCAAAAGAAAAGCCAAGTTATTATGCTACAAGTGCATGATTTGTTTTGCATGACTTATAAACATCTTCAATTAGAAGACAGTTAATCATGGGGGCAGTAACTTTGCTTCAGGATACTACCAAATTCACCTAGAAAAGCAACTGAATGCTCCCCCTTCCATTCCAGCAAACAGACCCCATACTCTTAAACAGCTTCTTAAAAAGTTACACAATTCACAAAACCAGACGTTACTGCACAAGTTAGAAAACTTATTTGGCACATTTTCAAACTGTAAATTTAAACACTTGTTTCTAGATCTGTAGCTGAATACTTACCTTGAAAAAGTCATCTTGATGTACCACGCAACAGTTTGGCAGTGCTTTGATAAGCTTATTCGTCAAAGTGGTTTTCCCACCATTGGTCACGCTAAATAGGAATTTTAAGCACATAGCAGAAGAGAATTAATACAGGGTTGCACACAGCAGAAAGAAAGCGACCTGTAGTTCTTACAAGCGGCTGGAAAAGCCGAGTTTATACCATCTGTAGCAAGAAGGCAATGGGGGAGGGGGGCAGTTTTGGCGCAATTCCCTAGACAGCCAGTCGTTGGAATAAATGTTTTAGCGCACCATTACAAGTCAACATAAAACTGAACTAACATAGTATTTGTAGAATTAGTCATGATCATATATTGCATACGCATTGGTATTCTGTAGCGTATTACCATATTGAAACTTCATAACGGCACTACTCATTTTAAACCACCTGATTGCGTGGCGTATACATTGTAACGTGTCGCATTAATTCACCCTCATCTTAGTATGATACCGATTGTTATATTGCCTGATGTAACACAAGAAGTCGTAAAAATCGTCGTAACATTTACTAAAGATGAACTTTCATTAGGAGGACACGGCGATATGGGCACAAAGACATTCCATATTCAGGTTTCCCGCCCTGGACACCAATACGACTCTCGAAAAACATCAAAACGCCTTAAAATGGTGGCGAATAACCCTGCGCAATCTCTAGCCATGTAAAAAAAAGAAAATCTTCGCCACATCCAAGTAAATTTGATTTTTCAGCCATTACGTCATTTTTAATGAGACCACAACCCTATTATGCACAATAGCAAAAAGGGACAAGGCTCAAATGGGGGGGGAAAAAAATAAAATATATATCGTAATTGATCAAACGAACACACTGCGTAACGCTGAAACGGTTTATTTTTTAAATTCTTCTCGGTTGAGCCCGGCGACTGTCGGTCTCCCTCCGCTTCAGTGTGGCGGAGCGCGCGCTGCAGTTTAAATCTCCCGCTCGAACCGCTCCTGGAAGCACGCGCCGAGCCGTGTCTACGTGCCACACAGAGAGGCCACGCGCCCCGCAGCACAGCAGAGCAGCTACCAGCGTTATTATTAATTAGAATAAATTATAAGAAGTTTTTTTTTTGCTTTATATTCCGAGAAGTAAGAAATATTTGACCAGACCCCCTGCTCCCCACCTCTTATTTCTGGAAACTGCAGATACAATAAGTTTTAACTACACCTCACAAAAACGTAAGACTAAATCTTAATTTAACATTTACTTCTTTAAAAAAGTTGTTTAAATTAAGGCGCCATTCCCGTCTAGGAGTCAGAAAGCTTACCGGTGTATTTTATAGTATGTTACTAGGACCGCCTTCCTCGACAGATTCTCCTGTACTGTACAGAGGTTTATTTAAGAACTAAAAAGTAGAATGTTTCGCCCTGCCCTGGACAAGCCAATGAGAAAAGCTGGCCTGATCCGTGTTTTTTGTTTTTTGTTTAAGGTAGCTATGTTAATAACAGTTCTCTTTCAAATGAAGAAACGGTTGTACTTACCCGCCAATGCCTATAATGTATTTCATTTTGTCGATTAACTCGATCTTGGTCTTGTTAAACAGGTCAGTGAAAATGGAAGGAAAATGAACCTCAGGATTTACAAACAGAGAACTAAGTTTTGAAGTTGTTTGCTCCCTTTTTTTTCACCCCCTTTTTCTCGTCTTCCAGAGTACCCTCCTCTCTTTACTATTTCATTGATGAACTGGCCCGGCCTCTTCCCATTTAAACCTTCCCAGACCCCTACGTCATCACGCCACCTCCCCTCGTGCTCTGACGCGCCGCTCTTCTCCTCCGCGTGTCCTTTTTAACCGCAGCCAATCCCGGCCCTCCGAGCGGAAGGCCGGTCCAATCAGCGCAGGCGCCGCCGGCCCTAATTTGCATGCTGGCAGGAGGCCCACAGCGCGCACAGCTGTTGTCCCCCGTCTGTCAAGAGCGCGCACAGACTCTTAGCCTGAGCCCCCACCTGATCGATCAGAAACCCCCGAAATAGCAGTAGGATTTGGATAATAGGAACATTTACAGAAACGTAGAGTGTGTCACCTGAAGGGCCCATTTTTTCGGGAGTTTTTTTTCCGTTCTCTGTGGAAAAAATATACTTTATTAGAGCTTTGTTTTTTCAAGCAATGCTTTCTGTCGCTGTAAAACCTTTATGATGTAACAGATTGTAGTGTAGGTATTGGGATATATATTGCATACACAAATTGCTTTCTCCATCTAAAAGCACCTGACACTTATTTGGAATTAGAAAAAAAAGTAGAGAACATTTTACGTTCGATCAGAAAGTTTCGGAGAAGTTTAGCGCTAGATATCAGCTGCAAAGGTGTTGCAATCAGTCTAGGTGTAGCAAAGATCGAAATACACTGCAATGCAACTGAGTCAAACTAAACGTGTCACTATCTAGCAATTATCACATCATGAAGTTTTGACAATTAAACACAATTCCAAATTTAACGCAGAAAGAAGAAACGACGTTCAAGAACACTTAAGCAGAATCCCCAAAAAATCATGTCGTGATATTCTCTCACAATCTCATGATACAAGAAACACACGGTGTACAAGTAGGGCATATCACAAAACCGGTGTTTTACATTTGTTTACAATTGTTTTACAATTGCACAGACTTCTCGGAGATGACAATGTTTTTTTTTAACATTTAGAAGCAGTGTGCTTACTTCTGTAAATTGTAATCACCCATCCATTTTCTAACTGCTTCTTCCAATTCAGGGCTGCGGGAGAGCTGGAGCCTTTCCCAGCAAGTAAAGGGTGCAAGGCAGGGCTCACCCACTGCAGGGTGCATCCTCAACATTCACTGCAGGGTGCATCCTCAACATTCACTGCAGGGTGTATCCTCAACATTCACTGCAGCGTTCATCCTCAACATTCACTGCAGGGTGCATCCTCAACATTCACTGCAGGGT